CATACCATATAGCATGAATAAAAGTCAGAGGAGTGGCGATCACGAGTCTAAATTGCACTAAGACGTCTTTTCTTAAGTTAACTACCGACTATCTTTTAAGCGCAACGCGCGAGATGTTGCTACGTCCTAGATGTTGTTAAAATTTTCTCAGAAATATCGACGACGCGGTAAAAGCCGCGGATAATACCTTCCGGCCCCATTTTCTTTAATTACGTCTCAAGGTCCGGCCCCGATCGGGAATAGCGATCGTTCGGCGAAACGATCTATTTTCGTTAATTAGCCGGCCGCTCGCGGATCCCGGCTCCGGGATCTTTATCGCCGACGGAGAGTCCGCCCGTTACGGATCTTTACGCCGACGGTTCTCAGTCTCATCCGTACTCGTTCCGCTCGACAGGGTACGAAGCTATGGATCATCATGGAGTATCTGGGTGGCGGCTCGGCCCTGGACTTGATGAAGGCCGGTAGCTTCGAGGAGATGCACATCGCCGTGATATTACGCGAGGTGCTCAAAGGGCTGGATTATCTGCACAGCGAGCGTAAGCTCCATCGCGATATTAAAGGTACGTCCGTCCGATAAGGCGCGAAAGGTGTTTATTGCTTTTAACGCTCCTCGTACAGAGGTGTCAAAAGATATCGTGCTGTGTATTCAATCGATTCAGGAGGACATCAAATATCATGCTAATTAATGATTCACCTAGCTAAAATCCGCAAGAATTATCTGCGCGATGCGAAACTTTGTTAGAAAAATTATTCAATCGTTGTTAATTTACGTATATAAAAATAGCGACAAAATAAAATTGATTTGTTATTAATAGAGCTCTTAATTAATATAGCACACTGCTTTATTTATTTATTTTTTATGTTGATTTAAAAACGAAAGATAAATTCACATGGAATTTTTTTTATCTTACAGCGGCGAATGTTTTGCTGAGCGAAATGGGCGACGTTAAGTTGGCCGACTTCGGTGTAGCCGGTCAATTGACGAACACCACCAGTAAACGGAATACCTTCGTCGGCACGCCGTTCTGGATGGCACCCGAAGTCATCAAACAGTCCGCTTACGATTCCAAGGTAATAGCATTAATTAATTTTCGCCGTTTACTGCGGTATGCATCCATACATTGTCGTAAATTAGGTTTATATATATATAAATATCTTACATACGAAAATATCTTAATTTATTTTTTGAAATTATTTCTGAATTTACACGTATTATTATTTTCGTGTATAAGATAAA